GGGGGGGGGGGCGGCCGCGGTCAATTCTGGATGGAGGTTGTGGGGGGCGTTTGGGGCGCAGGCCGCCCATGCAAGCAGCGCACCCTCGGCTGCGCCGCCGCGCAGCTGCCGCCTGATTTGCGCCATGCTTGCAAAACAAGTCAGCGGCGACGTGGGCGGCTGCGGACGCAAATGCGGGCCTGGCTCGACCGACGGCGCCCGCGCGCATGGCTCACCGTCGTGCCCGCACGCGTGCATGCGGCCCTCATGTTGGCTCTTGAATTCGAGGCCTTCCGGCTCGTTTATGGGCAGTGCGTCGATGTCGGACCGCAGCACGACGGTCGGCTGGCCGCTGCCGACGCGGCCCACGATGCCCGTCTTTGCGTACTGCTTGTACGGGATCTTCAGATCGTCTAGGTGCTTCTTGAGGGCAGCGCTGGTCTTGTGCTCCTCGAAGATGAGCTCTGGGATCTTGTGCAGCTCGCGGCGGACGGAGGTGATCCATGGCGCGAGGCCAGCAGCGGCGTCCAAGAGCGCGGCGGCGCCAGCGCGTGTGGGCACGGGGCCGATGGCAACCAGGGCCGCGGCCACAACAATGAGCAGGGCGCGGACCCTCATTCCAAAGCCGGTGGTCGCTGGGCTGTGACGACGCGAGTGTGAGGTGACTTGCGGACGTGCATAATAAACGGGGCAATCGATACACAGGTGTAATGAATTGATAACGCCATTCACATTTACCTTAGTAACTTTCTCAACTTGGATCGCGGTGATCTTGCCAGCACAGCACGATGGCCCTGGCCTGCCGTAGTCTCTCTGGTATGCTGTGGGACCTATAAAAGGAAACCTATTGGGTGGATTTGGGGACCAGCTGCGAAAGGAACCACTTGCCCGGCTGCCTGGTCTGCTTGATTTCTAGCTTGCTGGCCACGTACGGCGTGCCTGTAATTAGCTGAGGCCTTCTTGTATTGTCTTGTGGCGCGGCCTCCGCAGGGCCCGCACACGCAGGGCGGCGGCAGCAGCAGCAAGCCGGCAGGGTGCGAGTCGCACACCTGCGACCGGGCACTGCTCACCGGCGGCTCACAGTGGCAGCCAGGTGCGGCTGAAAAGGGCCGCTTTGTCGGGCAAACCCGCGCATGTGCGCGCGCGAATATGCATGCAGTGCGACACTGCCCACGTGGGCAATAGGCAGTCCCCTGGACCCCGTCGTGTCGCCTGAAACGATGCGAAAACCGCTCTCCACCAGGGCTGAGCGCGGCGACAGCGGCTTCACCACCGGGTTCATCATGGGCGGCGTCGTGTTCGGGGCGCTCGGCTTCCTCTTCGCTCCTCAGGTTGGCCGCGGCGGACGCACAAGCGCCGCTCCCGTCGCGCCCGCAGCGCCGCGCCAGGCGGCGGAGTCTGAACGCCCATGCCCGGCAGCAGCGGCGCCGCAGCCACCAGCGCCGCGACGCCGGCATTCTCTGAGCCGCCGCATGCGCCTCGTCATCGCGCTCGCCGGCGCTGCCGCCGCCGCCACGCACGCGCGACGCTCCCCGCCCCGCCTCGCCTCGACCGCCCGCCGCCGCAGATCAGCCGCGCGCTGCTGGGTGACGACTCCCGGCTGCGGCTGCCGCGTTTTATGGAGGAGGAGGCACCAAAGGACCCCGAGGCCACCAAGCAGGAGCTCATTGACAAGATTGCACAGGTGCTTGCGCGGAGTTTGATTCGATTGCGCAGGGGGTGGCAGCCGGAATGTGGCAGGTCAGGGATTGGGGGCCAGCGTGCTTGGAGCAGAGGCGAGGGCCCACCGCCGCGGCCCTGGGCAGGGGCATGCATCCTCGGCGTGGCTGGCGCTGCGGCGTTGCGAGTAGCTGGCAGCCTGCTGCGGTCCAGGCAGCGGGTGACGCCAATCTTGCGCGGCATTGCAGGCTGCGGGGGCGGATGCCAGCGTCAGGCTCAAATGAGGCTCGATTGCTGGATGTCATTATGATAAGGTCCTGGGCGTGTTGTGCACACCAGAGTCGCTTTTTCTAACGCAATCCCACACTCCTCAATCCATCGGCAGCTCAATGCCTCGATCGACGAGGTGGCCGCAACCCTCAAGGCCAAGGACACAGAGCCCCTCGTTCAGAGCTGACATGGCAGCCAACCGCAGCAGCCGGGCGCGCCGCGGCGGGCTCGACGGCGGTGCTAGTGCACGCGGGGTGCGGATCGTGCGGCGCAGCGGCCGTGCGCTGCAGCTTGCTGCCATTCGGATTTCCTCGAGTCCGTCCAATTTGCATTCGCTCCGCTGGTGGACTTCCTGAGGGTGGCAAACGGGCGCTTTGGCCGGAATCGCATCCGGCCCGCAGTGTCACCAGCACATGCACACGCCTCACAGGCGGCATCCTGCCGTTCAGGCGGCGCTGCTGCGGCTGACTCCTTGCGTGATTCCACGTTGTCCTCTCGCCTCCCACCTCGCCCTGCCCTGGATTGCTCCGCCACGGCTGAGCCAGGGAAATAGCTGGCAGGTTTGCACATATGTCCTTGTAGATATCAGCATTTTGCATGCAAACATTGGTGTCGAATCGCAATGCTGCCAGGAGTCAGGGCGCGCGCACCCGCTCCAGTGTCGTCGTGCACACCGTCAGGGCTGGCAGAGCAGTGATTTGCAACGTGCTGTGTGCCGGCGCGTTCTCGTATCGAACGCCTACAATCAAGAATATTTCCTTGCACAGGCTCTTGCGTTCGTATCGTACCGTAAACGGGCTTTGTTGACTCGCAAAGTGACACAACGCGAAAACCGTCACCGAAGGAATCGGCTCAGTTTTGTGGCTTGAATGAGCCCTGCAGCGCCAGAAAATAGTCAGCGCAAGTACTATTGTCTTTGTGCAATCCAGCACCTGTTGCGCGGCGCCTGCGCACTCCGACGCTGCGCACACAGCCACGCCGCTGCAGCGATGGAGCGCAGCGGCCGCTCAAACGACTACCTGCGCCAGCCTGGCGGCGTGCTGGTGGCGAACTGGTTTGAGGAGCGCTGCGCCGCGTCGGGGCCCGCGTTGGACGCGCCTCTAGCACTCCAGCCTGCCGCATGGCTCACGTCGACTCAGGAGCAGCAGGTGCTGCCCGCACGGCTTCCTCAATAGATTGCATGAGGGCCACCTGACGCACCTTCACAGAGTCCTTATGCTTGTGAGGCATTTGAGCCGATAAAGAAGGGCCACGCGTCGCGCACAAAAAGCTCAGCATCCCGCGCCGGCGCGCGCCGCCCTGCAGCGCGCGGCGGCGGCGATGCGCCCCACGCCGGCTGAGCCACCGGCGTCACGTTTCACGCCGGGGGCCCTCAAGACGAGCCTTACCGCGCACGGCGACCCGGGGGAGGCGCCAGTGAGCTACTGGGCGACGCTCAACTCACTGGCCTATGGTGGGCAGGGGGGTGCCTGGTCCGGTTGTGTTTGACAGACTAGGTCCGCTTGACATCAGATAGGATGGAATCTCATTGACAGTAGAGCGGCGGCGGCAGGTGGCTGGGGGGGCCGGATATAGGCAACCGCCGTCATCCGAGCCTTACTTCCCTTTGAGCCATGCGGCCTCGCCTGCTCTGAGTTTATGTGCCAGCGTGCTTTGCCCTGCTGGGCCGCCGGGCAGTGTGCTGATGCGCTTTGACTCTTGATATGCACGGCTAGAGCATTACAGGCTGCCTCTCACCGGTGCCGTGCGCGCCCGCGGCGCTAGGTGACAAGTTTGTGGGCATGCCACGAGTCCAGGCGTTCCTCTTCACAGGCAAGAATCTGGCAGATGCCAAGGTGCGCCGGTCGGCCAGCAGCACTATCGACCAAAATGATCGCTGCTGCGGCGTGATGGAATGCTCGTGCCGGCAGTACTGAGATGGAGCAGCGATCGTCTTCTGAGCGGCCTGATGGCACAAACCCTGCCAGGCGCAGGCCAATTCCATCCCGCCACCATCGATTCATGCCATCAAACCGCACGCCCGCAGGTGCCTGTCAGCACCACCTCGCTGGTGGCCACGTCCACGATGCGCGCGGCGTGGATGAGGGATGCGGCTGCGGACCCTTGGACGACGACCTCCGCCTCCGCCGCCCAGGCCGCGGCGCTGGCGGCGCCGGCGGGGCGCCTGCAGGCGGCGCGGCCGGGGTACTAGCAGGCCGTGAGCATCGCGGTGCGGCACGATGTCCGTTGCCGCAACCAAAGTTGGGCTTCCTCCACAGAGGCGTTGCGCAGCTTCTCAGCAGGAAAGCTCTCCCACTCACATGGTGTGTTGCTGCTCAGCTTGGTTGACAGATGTGTGTCTGCATTTCGAATTGCAGTGGTTTTGGAGACCTGTGCATGTGTGCAGCTGTGTTGGTGTATCCTTGGAGAATGCTTGTATTCAGTGATTGAGTAACCAGGCTACTCACCCTCTTTTCTAGATTTCACAAATCTAAGCAGGCAGCCAGCAGGATGTAAATGTATGAAAAATCCAACCAGCAAGCTTGTTCTCGTTTACTGATGTACCCCGGGCGACTGATAGTGCGCCGCCTAGACACAACAATTTGTGGTACGGCAGTACCAGCACTCAACAGTGTTCTCAGTGCCCCGCAACATCGGCCCACCATCCACACGTGCGCTTGCCAACATCCAGGTTGAAGCTTCCTCAGTCCTGCGCAAAATATCTCGGCATACACTCGCTTGGCGCTAGCTCGCTGCTTCGTTTGCGCCAGCTCGTCAGCAGTAAATGCTGCGACGACAGTACACGGTCATGGTCTTGAGGCGTCCGCTGCAAAAATGCAAGCCTTTCGATGCAAGCCTTCCAAACGTGGACCACAGGCATCACACGCCCAGCATTTGCCGCCTTGAGAGATCCACGGCGCTCTTGACGCGCACGGCCGGCCTCCTCAGCGGCTGCGTGTCGCCGCCGCCGCTGCCGCCGCCACCGCCGCCGCCCGCCCCGGTGACGTCAGCGAACGCCGTCTGCCTGGGCCGCTGCGGGGACACGCCCCTGCTCTTGCTCCCAGGGGCGCTCTGCCCAGTAGAGGCCAGCAGGAAAGTGATCGAGTCGTCTTCATTATGCTGAGTCCGCACGGACCCAAACATCGCCGCCGCGCCCGCCG